GTTAGATTTCCAATGCCACCGGTCTCAGGTCAATCAGCATTCTGTAGTAGAAGTTGTGCCCGTTTTACTGAAGAGTGGTCAATCTGCCTCGCAAGAGAAGGCTGTCGAGAAGAGGAATGTATATCGATCGATGGGAAATCCTTCATATCGATCAATTTGGATGCCAGAATGCGGGCCGAGTATATTTCATGACCGACTGAAGCCCAGAAGATACCACAAAGTTACCAAAATACCCTTGACGACCTGAAACTCTATTTACGTTATTTGCAAGCCATTGTTGACGGCTACGCTTTCTTTTTCATCTTTTGTTTCATTGTTCTTAGTGAGGGGAGAAGAGGGGAACTCAATTGATTTTGGTTTAATTTATTTTATGTTCTTCATCTATTCATCTATGATAACTATCAAGCATGAGGAGATCCACTGCTAGTTTTAGGAATTTCTAGGGTTTTGAATGAAATTCTGATTTATATGATTGCTGAGATACTATAGATCTCTACACCAGGATAGCTTGTAATACTAGGATCTTGAAAAGTTAGAAAATCACGATAGTGTGACTAATTGTTTGTTCCTAAAATCATAGGACAATTGAGAGGCACAAGAGTGCAATTAATTAACGGAACTCGAGCCCTGCTGGATTGGATACCTAGGCGCATACTGGTGTTGGTCTAGGAATCTAGTTGAACATTATCAATCAGATCGATAATGGTTGCCTAAGGCAGCATCGATCGATGCTCATATCGTAGCATCGATCGACGCTCGTATCATGGTATCGATCGATGATCACACCATGGCATCGATCGATGCTCACACCATGGCATCGATCGATGCTCACACCATGGCATCGATCGTCTATTGATCAGTGTTGGCTTGCAAATGCTAAAACACTGAACTTAGTCAATAGATTAGACCCACAGTGAAAGCTGGTTATCTTTTACATTAGATATCAAGTTCTGGAATCAATCCTTAGCATCTATAGATTAGAGTTCTTAATAACCTGAATGAAACCCTAAGTCTAGTAACAATCCTTTCATCAAAAAATTTCTTGCCAAACTGAAAAATAGTCTTGTTCATCTTGTTTTCTGTTTTATTTACTGCTTTAGAATCATTTACTGTTTTATTATTTACTTGCTTAGATTATTCATAACTGTTTAGATCTAATTGGTTCCCTAGCTTCTTGTGGATTCGATCCATAAGTACTACAATTGAACCTCTTATTTGAGAGAGTAATTCACTCCTTAGAGTAATTTGAGTGATATCAATATTACTCATTATTTCATGACATATACTTTTTTCTAAAATATTTTATATTATGTTAAATTAATAAAATTTATTTATAAAAATTTATCAAAATCCATGTAACTTTTATTTATTTTAACAAAATTTAAAAATCAACAAATAGCTACACTATTAAAAGAAAAAAAACAGTCTTGGAAAATTTATCTATACAAGGTTATTTGAAACATTTTCATAGGAACTAATAATTTAATGGTCCTACTTAAATTTCATCTAACAATATATTACCATAAATTTCTCTAACGATATATTGTTTTAATAACAAAAATATATAATCCGTTAAATTAGATATTTTTCTAAATTGATAGATTTTGGAAATATAACATGTATGGTAGGACCCTTATATAATATATGGGTTTTACATAATTAAGTCTAAAATTATTAGAATTGCTCCTAATTCATCATCCACATATAAACAAGAAAAAGACAAAATAAATATGCTAACCTGATTACTACAAATCAATTAACCTATTCAAATTTATCTACTATATAAAGTATACAAGAAGTATTCAATTTTTAAAAAAAAAAATATTTATCAGATTTTTCTGCATTTTTTCTGGATCAACCTGTGTTGGTTCACGGGTTTTTGAGTTTTATCGAATTTTTTATTATTAAGTTTTCATTAAATCCAAATTTTTATGGAAACATATCAGTTGGCAGAACCTCTAATTGTATGCTATATAAAAAAAGTAAGCAAGATTTATCGGACCGCGGGTCCGGATCAGATATGACAATTCTTCTTATATAATTTGTAGGTATATACTTTATATTGGTAGGCTTAAGCTATGCATATCAATTAATTTAATTTACTGAATCTATGACCTATCCAAAAAGACAATTCTACAAATCATAAATCTAATTTTATTAATTGGTCTAAACCTATTGTATGCTTTAAGCATAATAAATAAATTATAAATTTGTAATAGTATTGGTCATTCCAAAATCTCTAAATTAAAATGTATAACATAAATACAATGAATTTACTTTATACAATAAATAAGATATATGAGAAGTTAAATCTATTTTTAAAAAGTATTGTAATATTTTCTGAGTTTTTACTGGATCAAACAGTGTCGGTTTCACGGGTTAATTATGGGATTCTAGGTTTTATGGAATTTTTAATTAATAAATGATCTACATTAAAATTGTAATAGTATTGATCATTACAAAACCTATAAATTAAGATGTATAACATAAATACAATAATTTATTTTATACGATAAATCAAATATATAAAAAGTTAAGTCAATTTTTTAAAAAAATATTATAATTTTTTTTTAGTTTTTTTCCAGATCAACCAATGTCAGTTTCACGGATTAATAGTAGGGTTTTTGATTTTATTTAATTTTAATTAATATTTTTTTATTAAATCTTAATTTTATGGAAATATATCTGCTGGCATAACTTTTGATAGAATGGTACTTAAAGAACAAGGCCAATCCGGGTGATATACGATCAATAAGTTTAAAAATGTTTTATTATTTATGAAATTCAGTTCAATTTTGATTTTCATTTTCAATTTGGTACAATGCGGTTTCAACTTCAAAGAAATGCATATATTTTCAAAAAAAAAACATGCGCTTTCTAAGCGCGGATCAAAATCTAGTAGATACTTAATTTTGAAAATGATACGTTTCATTGTTACAACTTTCATTGATTCCATTTCAGTTTTTAAAACATTATACACACGTTACATGAAAATTTAGGTTTTCAAACCACAACAAAATAATTGAGTTCCAGACATTATTTGCATTAAACAAAGCTGAGTCATGTTCCGGACTTCGTTGATAGTCACGACTTGACAACCACGCCATTAAAATATTAAAAAAAAAAATACGAAGTTTCTTCAACTTCAAATCACCAATAAGAGTTTTAATGACGTTAGCTATATAACTCTTTTAGTATCATCTCTTCAACATAAGCAATCAAACAAAGGTCAACATGTATCACAAATTTCAGATCTCCGCAAAAGTTGTAAGGTCTGTGGATTTGAAGATGAAGATTTTGGTAACAGTCCTCTTTAGCTCCTTACTAATTTGGTTTATAATGTTACTATCATCCTCAAACAACTTCAAGAATCATTTTCTTGATGATATAACCAACGGTAAAATAAACTCGTCCATCTTTTGAATTTTTACATTTAACTTAGTGAATCCTCATTTTGACTTTACGTTTTCCATTTTCTTTTTAGAAGATTCAAAGGAAGCCAAAACACCGAGGGATAAACTGCTAGGTGGCATTTTAACCGCTGATTTTGATGAAGGTTCTTGCTTGAGTAGGTACCATAAATCTTTGTTGTATCGCCAGCCTTCACCATACAAGCCTTCTGAGTATCTCGTCTCTAAGCTTAGAAGCTATGAGAGGCTACACAGGCGTTGCGGTCCAGACACAAAAGCTTACAAGAAAGCAACAGGAAATCTTGTCCTCGATGAGAATTATGCAAGCAAATCTGTTGGTGAATGCAGATACATTGTGTGGATCGCCGGTTACGGGCTTGGAAATAGAATGCTTACTCTCGCTTCTGTGTTCCTCTATGCTCTCTTGACAGAGAGAATCATTCTTGTTGACAACAGCAAAGATGTTAATGATATCTTATGCGAGCCATTTCCAGGTACTTCATGGTTGCTTCCTATTGACTTCCCATTGATGAAATACACTTATGCTTATCGTTACAACAAGCAATACGCTCGTTGCTACGGAACAATGGTGAATAATCATACCATCAACTCCACTTCAATCCCGCAGCATCTATATCTTCATAACCTCCATGATTCAAGAGATGAAGATAAGATGTTCTTCTGTGAAAAAGATCAAATTTTTATGAACAAAGTCCCTTGGTTGATTATTCAAGCCAATGTATACTTCGTTCCATCTCTATGGTTTAATCCAACATTCCGACCCGAACTGGTGAAGCTGTTCCCGCAGAAAGATAGCGTCTTTCACCACTTGGCTAGTTATCTTTTTCACCCGACGAATCAAGTTTGGGGTATGATCACTAGGCACTACCATGCTCACTTATCAAGAGCAGACGAGACACTCGGAATTCAAATACGGGTTTTCAGAAAGGACGCTGGATATTTCCAACATGTCATGGACCAGATCGTAAGTTGTACACAAAGAGCAAAGCTGTTGCCTGAATTGGCTACACAAGAAGTCAACATGTCGTATACCCCGAAGGTTAAAGCTGTTCTTGTCACATCTCTGTATCCAGAGTACTCTGACAACTTAAAAAACATGTATTGGGAGAGACCAAGTTCAACAGGAGAGATTATTGAAGTTAATCAGCCAAGTGGAGAAAGGGTTCAGCAAACAGACAAGAAGCTTCACGACCAAAAGGCGCTTGCTGAGATATATCTTCTGAGTTTAACAGATAACATTGTCACAAGTTCATGGTCTACATTTGGATATGTTGCTTATAGTATTGGAGGATTAAAGCCATGGTTGCTTCATAGGCCAAAGGGTAACAAAACTCCAGAACCACCTTGTGTTCGATCCACGTCGCTGGAGCCTTGTTACCTGACTCCTCCTTCTCATGGATGTGATGCTGACTGGGGGAAAAACTCGGCGAAGATTTTTCCTTTTGTTAAGAATTGTGAGGATGTTATATATAGTGGGCTCAAGCTACATGATGAGTTATAAAAATTGTTTATCACAGCTCATTTCATTAGATTGTTGAGTTATTGAAACAGAGGAACAATGTTATATCCATTTTTTACATCTATAATAATCAACATTACTGATGTTCAGTTTTTAAATTAAAATGCACCAATACTCTATTAATTTGCTAATGCATAGATACAATAGACCAAATGTCCAAATAAGGAGGAAACAAATTCATTAAGGTTGTAATGATTTCTACCCTCAATCTTATTCACCCTCATTGATAAACATGAAGTAACAAAAGGCCAACACCATACAAATACATAGAACTTAGAAGACAAGATAGTCTACTAATACTTCACACCTCGTACAAGCCTTCTCTCGGAGGAATCACTCCGGAAACTCCCAAGCGAAGTAGACTGTTCAGGTTTGTTAGGTATAGTTTTGGAGAGCCATTCAAGTCCCTCGTATAAGCCTTGCCCAGTGATGGCTGATGTTCCCTGTATAAACCTGCACCAATCATAAATATCGACAAAGCCTTTGTTTATCGGCTACCTCTAAATATATCGTAAAATAGAACAAATGAAAGTCATTCTTTTATTACCAACAGCGTTTGGTTAGGCCGTGCAGACCAAGGTTGTTGGCAACTTGGTCTACGGCTAGAGCATTTCTTGAATCTTGCTTGTTCGCAAAGACGAGTACACATGCATTTTGTAATTCATTCTGTATATATATTTTTTACAAAAATTAATAGAAAGTTGTAAAGATAGAGAACGAGAAGAGATTTAACATAGTAACAGTTAAAAGAGAATTTCTTTATGATTTACATTGGTTAGTATTCGATGCAGCTCATTACGAGCTTCTGATAACCTTGAACTGTCACTGCTGTCCACCACAAAAATGAGCCCTTGCGAGTTCTGAAAATAGTGTCTCCACAATTTGCGAATCTGTTCAAATATTTGTCAGATCAATAAAAACAATTAAGATCCCTTAAGGATATAAAAAAACATGTTGAGCCTTGAGATAAAAATAAAATTAAATAAATCTGTGTTTACACACTTGTAGAGAGGTGCAAGAGTAAATCATGGCTCTGTTTTTGTGTGGACTAGTACAGTTTCAAAAAGACAAGTAAAAGATAAAATAAATATGGAACTTACCTTCTCTTGTCCTCCTATGTCCCATACAGTGAAATTGATGCCTTTGTATTCTACTGTCTCGAGGTTGAACCCTTAAAAACGTAAAGAAAAACCAAGAACAAGGTTAAGAACTTTTTAAAGCTATCAAGAATTTTCTTCCTCACATATGCAATCACATCCAAGGGGAAGAAGTTAACTATCTAAGGGATACAGATAACTATAATCGAGAGAGAATGATCAAAAGTAATAATAAACACATACCAATAGTAGGCACTGTTGTGACAACTTCACCGAGCTTTAGCTTGTAAAGGATGGTAGTCTTCCCTGAACCATCAAGACCCACCATCAGAATCCTTACTTTAGACTTGGGAAGAAACCTTTTCGCTATACGTGAAAATCTAGCACCCATATTGAAAAACAAAAACAAAATCCAGAAACTGAGAAATAGTGAAATAAACAGAGCTTATCCCAAGCTATAAGCTGGATGAGAAAGAAAATAAAGAATAAAAAGTTTGAAATAGCTGAACGTAAAAGCAAGCAAAAAGGCAAATATTCATTAGAAGAAAGGCTGTAACGAATAAATTCTTAAAGGTGAATGAAGCAAAGAAGGGTCTGCCTTTTCCAAACTCAAAAGCTTGCCGTATATTTTTGCTTCCATTAGATTGATTTCAGACACTGAAGAAGACTGGTCAGATTCTGTGTTCTGGCTCATCTTAGAAGAATATTATCAGAATCTTATTCCCTGAGTACATCACCCAGCTGCACTATGGAAGATGACACGTACATAGGAAAGACACAAGACTTCAATTTCATAGAGTAGGTCATATTCAACAAAGAAAACTCGATCTCACAGTTCCTTCAACATTCAAAAGAAAGCAAATAGAAGATGATGTTTTCTTAGTTAAATTTAAAATCTGCCACTGATGAAAATCGTATTCATTTTGTTTTTTATGATGAAATTTTAAATTTATTGATCATCTCAAAAAGAATATATGTACCATCTATAAGCAGTTCAAGAATTAATTTTCAAAGAAAATCCTAGTAAATGTAAACTGTAGAGAGACATGAGCTGCAAGCCACCTGATCATCAGTCCCTGAAGTCTAGGGTTTGGGAGTACTTGGTGGAAGTAACGCGACTTCGGATTGTCTTGTCGATCATATCTGAAAGCTGTTCGACTGTCTTACCAGTAGTGTTGTGCTTCCTCTCGTTGCGCTCACGCCATATTAAGTAAATATTGACTTGCAGGACCAATCTCAGGGGAATAAAACTGAGGCGGTCGTATGATCTGTCCAGTACAACATAGTGTCCCAGTCTGGGTCTGGGTCAGTACCAAAGAGGTTCCCTACCATCGTCAACCAAAGAGTGAAAGTATAAGGATAAGAAAAGAAGAAGTGATTCCTAGTCTTGTCAGGTGATGACCAGTAGAGAGTCTATCTTTGACTGCACGCCAGGTGATGAATGCATACCGAGGAACGCCATATGAAAACTAAACAATTTTACCCCATCGAACCTTCTCCTTGTGAACCCTGCTTTGATTCCAATCGTCAAAGGAAAAAAACTTGGTATATAATCATTATCACCACGCTTCCATAATACTTCGTCCCTACCATCAGTTAGCTTTAAATGAAACGCATGAATCTCTGTTAACAAGCTTTGAATGTGTCTATCACGAGATGTGCGGAATCTCCACTTGCCCTCTCTAAGAACATCACAAATCCTCATATCCCTACGAATACCCAGCGTCTGTGTGTCAAGTTCACCAGTAATCTCAATAAGTTTTCCCTTGGGAAACCACAAATCCGTCGAAAACCTTGTTGTGCTACCTTCCGTAGCTGCAAACAGTAGTAATTCTTTTGCCAATGACCAAAACTGCAGCAACTTGCACCACCCCCCAAGACTTTAGCCATGTGTGTTTTGCATCCTATAAAGTCTCTCCTTGATGTAGGTACCCCTTCACCCGGGTGACCCAATGAAAATTTGATGAGCAAATAAACGCCAGATAAGCTTTAAAGTAAACATTGTGCTAACCTATTGAATACGTGATACACAAAAATTGGATTTTTGTTTACTGTCAAGTTAACAGTGTAGATGTAGTATTTGAGATTCAATTCTAGAGGACTAGTTTACACTTTATATTTATGGGATCAATATTAAGGCAAAACAGATCGGTTTAATGTAAGTAAAATAATTAAAAAAAATAAGTAACAGAGTTGGTTTGGTTTCAGATTATAAAAGATGCTAGCCGAGGATGAAGGATTGGGTGTCAAACGATCATGAACCAAATATCTATTGAATGCTTTATTAAGTGCAAGTCTAGAACTTGAAAGAGAAATAAAGATTGACCCACTCTCAAGGCATCTCTCTTTTTAGCAATCAGTCTTAATACCTAAACTCTCGTTTTGGACTAAAACATGAAAGCAAACATTAAGCACAAATTCGATAAGTTCACAAATTACTATAGCATCTACTTTCACTGGATAGGGACAAAGTGCCCATTCATGTTGTTTCTAGCAACCTAAGCACTGTTGATGTTTAGATAAAACCTAGTTTTAAGCACTAAATAGCTAGTTTAATGCAAGCAGTAAGCATAAACATGAATGGAGACAATCAAACAATGAACATTATTTTTTTTTAGCTTGTTGATCTAACACCCTAGACTAAGCTAGCAGACTACTTAGCCATAGCCAGAGAGAACACAGAAACAAGAGATGAAGAAGACATGAATATGATTATAGATAAAAGATATTTTCAGAGGGTTCTTCTCTAAATCTAGAGAGATGGTCTTCTCCCTTTATAAAGTATCAAATCACAAATCTCCAAAAGCTCTAGAGTTGTTTCTCTATAAAAGGTAGTGTAGAAAATAATAGAAAGGAGGAAAAGAAGATATATGGAGGCTGCTGGCGACTGGAGAGGAAAAATAGGGAAACTATGGCAATCCCGAAATAGAATATTTCTTTCCATAAATATCGGGAACATGCAGTCGGATTGGTTCACTCACTCGAGAACAGCTGGTCAGGTTGCTCCGCTTGTGAAAACCTTCAAGTTAGGTTCTTTTTCGCATCTTTTTTCCAACGGGTCCATCTCCCATCCAGCGCACTCCAGACCTGTAATGCCTTGAAAAGGACTAAAAAGACTCGATGAAGACTCAAAACACTTTTGAAAAACATACTTTAACCACGAATCTCTGAACCACACAAGTAGTAAAACTAGGACAACACACAACATATCAATTCCCCCAACCTTAGATCCTTGTTTGTTCTCAAACAATGTCAAGTATCAAGAATAGGGAGAAATGTTTGAAAGTGTGGGAACTCACCTATTCTTCTCAACCATACTTTAACCACGAATCTCTGAACCACACAAGTAGTAAAACGAGGACAACACACCCTTACCAAAATCCCAGTGACTGCTGTTCAAACCAGCTCCATAATTTATATCTCAAACATGCAAAAGTCACACCTTCCAGACAAAACTCCTCACATTCAATTAAGAGTGGCGTGAGCTTCTCATCACATGCATTATTCAGGGTAAACGGTCTAGGTATGGAACATCCCTTTTAAGTGTTTAGGTGGAGCTAATCAGTGTTTAGGGGTTACCATTTCTTTGTAGAGGATACATGATATCGCACAAAATTTCAAGCGATGATCGATCCATTGATGTAAACAGCCCTTACTCGTTGTTGTCTGCTCTTCCTATGGAACAATCTCTCTGATCAGGCATCTGCTCTTTCTATGGAACAGTTGTTCCTACCATCAGCATGTGCTTCATTCTTTCAACTTGGTACTCATTTTTCACTCGACCTTCCCACTGGCTCTTGTTCTTTGTGATCTTCCCCTCCTCCATCACTTTATTCTGATGAAAATGAGATTTTTTTAATACTGATGGTGATGGTGACGAAGAAAGAGGTAACATATGATGGTTACGGATGTGCCACTAGTGGTCCTGATTTCACACTGATTATGGTTTCTCTTCATCTTGCTCTCTTAGGCTGGAACAGTTGCTCCCTTAGTCATTCTTGGTCTCCTTTTAAAACACTTTCTTGCTGCAGTAACGAGTAAGAGGCTGCGTTGATCCTTTCCTCTCATGGCCTTTCAAACATATCTGCACATAAAATACCAAAAATAAAATGCATGAGGGCAGAATAAAGGCTTAGGGTTTCAAGGTGGGTACTAGCTAAAAATGAGATAGCCACTCAGGATCAGCAAGATGAATATAAAGAATAAGAAGTCTTGAGTGTGATCTCGTTACCCTAATCTAATGCCCATGACAAAAAAAAATTTATACAAGATTAGGTTCAGGTTAAATGGAGTTAAGTCTTTCCAAAGTAACCTCTACAAGCCGAAAGCTTCTGGAGAACAAGATGATGTAATGTCAGGGTATTCCGGGTTCACATATGTGTCTGTCGCCACTGCTAAGATCATTGAATAAGATAATTACACTACAAAAAACTGCATATAGCCACAAATTAGCAACAAAAACTTTGGTGGCTGCAGTTTTCCAGCGACAAAAAACCACAAAATAGCAACAAACTAGAATTTGTGGCTATTACGTAGATATTAGTGGCTAAATAGCTATGAATATTTGAAGAAAATTAGCCACAACTGGTCACAACAATTTTTTTGTAGAAATCCATATACACTGTTAGCCACAACAACAATCGTGGAAATAAATAGATTCAAAATAATTTGTGGTATCTGTAGAAAACTGAAAACTGAAACATTACCTAAACCCTAATCTTTTTATCTTTATTGATAAACGTTTAGAAATAACAACAAACAAACTTTGTTAAAAAACAATTCAAACACTAATAACAATTTTAACAAAATTGCAAATATAATATTTTCCACACTCTAAACCTTGAGCATAAAATATATAACTAAAATCCAAAATTTAAAGGTTTGAAAGTTATAAATAAAAATTTATACATGAAATTTAAATTAAAGCCACAAGTTATGAGTTATGACTCTTAATAAAATTTGAAACTTTAAAAAAAAATTATTTATAACAAATTACATTTATAACCACACTCTAAACCCTGACATATTACAATTTATCACATTCTAAACCATGGCATATTCTTCACCCTGCACATTTAATCTTTAAGAATAAAATCTATACCTTTTTTTTTATCTCATTCTTAAAGCCAAACCCAAATCCCATACTCTATACCCTAAATCTCTAAACATCAAATACAATCCTAAAATTTAAATTTTATATTAATCGTTAACCCTAAAGCATTTAATCATACTCTTAAACATCTGCAATTTTTCAAAATTTTAATATTATATAAATATTAAACAATATTAAATCATAAAAATTATATATATATATATATATATATATATATATATATATCCAAAATCCAACCCTTACAAAAATAAATTGTAAGTTAAAAGTTTTTCAAAGTTTATCCAATTTGTACATTAAATATGTCAAATAGTTATATAAAACTTTCATATCAATAATTTATAAGACAAAG